AAGTTTACTTTTGGCTAATATGAATTGGACTTTCCGCGACCAAAAAAGTTGGTCGCGAATGGTCACTTTTAGCGACCAAAGGCTTTTTTGGTCGCAGAAAACTATCTGTGACGAGGCTTTAGTGACCAACTCGCGACCAACATATTTTGGTCGCTAAAAGGTTTTAGCGACCAAATATGGTACTTTTCGCAACCAAAATGTTAGTCGCTGAAAGTGTGTTTTCTAGTAGTGGTAGTTAGGAACAAAATTCAAAAAGCTAGTTTTGAAGATATAGAGACTTGTTCCAATTGCAATGCTATGGTCAATCTGGAGGCTGAGAAATGAGTGTGTTTTCAAAGGCAAACATCACAATATGGAAGAGTCGGGTAAGATAGTAAAGGTGAGGATTGGGTTGTGGGTTAAATACAATTTGTCTAATATACACTATTCAGTGCATGATATTGTGGAAAATTTGAATCATAAAAGTGATGTTTAATATTGCTATTACATAGTAAACAATTGAAAAAGGGTAAAATAGTCTTTTGTTCATTTATCCTATCCAGTCCGTCCAACCAAACGTTGGATTCACTGAAAATAGTCCTATCCAGACATCTAATCCCATGAAAAAACAAACACAGGATACATATCCAATCCGACCAAATAGTCCGGGGGATTCACAGTCCCAGGACTCAAGTCCGATGAATTCTAATCCCCCTTTTCCAGTCCGTCCAATCAAACACACCCTCAGGGGATAGGGTGACCCCTGACAACCCAAATCCTCCGAGGGTTAGTCATAACCCATCGCCCTTCAGTAGTCTTCTTAATAGAAACTAAGAATAAAGCCTCTAAATTGGAAAAGGTCAGGAGACGACTCCAATTTCCAAACCACTGCTATGTTGAGCCTGAGGGTTCTTTGGGAGGACTTGGCTTGTGGTGGATGGATGATATTAGCTTGGAGGTTCGTTTTAAATTGAAACATTGTATTCGGTGTATCATTGGCAGTGCAAACCATTCTAGTCAATGGGCTGCTTCGTTCATGTACGCCCCTCCCAATCGTCAGGAAAGGAATGCCTTCTGGGAGTTTCTTAAGGTTCAAGTGCGCGGTAACCGCTATCCTTGGGTCTGCTTGGGTGACTTTAATCCAGTGGGCTCCTCTTGGGAAAAACAAGGAGGTGCGACTTGTAATAAATCCCAGATTGAAGGTTTTCAAGCTTTGCTTTTTGATTGTGCTCTGATGGATTTAGAATTTAAGGGCAATGCTTACACATGGTCAAACAATCAGATTGGGGAGGCCAATATTCGGGAGAGGTTGGATAAAGTATTTGCAGCAGCAGAATGGCGTGCCTTATTCCCTTATCATCAGGTTTTCCATGAAAGTCTTTCGGGTCTGATCACTGCCCTTTAGTTATCAAATGTTGTGTTCCCCCTTTGAAAATCCCACGTTAGTTCAAATTTGAAAACATGTGGACTACCAGTCCGAGATGTGATGAGGTGATTCAGCAAGCTTGGGCACAAAGCTTTTAGGGGTCTCTAATGTTTCGGCTGGTGAAGTCTTTGAAGGCTTACCGTCACAACCTTATGGCTTGAAGCAAGAAAGAGTTTGGGAATACAAATATAAGTTGATCAAATTGAAGACTAGACTCGATCATGTCCAGAGTTTATCACTATCAGCAGAAAATTTACAAGCTCAACATGCTATTAAAGCGGACATTGAATTTCTTCTGGCCAGGGAAGAGATGTATTTGCATCAACGATCTCGAGTAAATTGCTTATCCTAGGGGGTAAGAATTCAGCTTTCTTCCATGCTACTCTGAATCAACGCTGCCAGCGGAATCAACTACTGAAGCTCAAAATGGAAGATGGGGTATGGTTGGAAACAGATGCAGAGATTGATAACTATTTGCATGGGTAATTTTCTGGTCTCTTTTCCGCGGACAGCCGCTGGATTTGGAAGAGGCTCTTTTGGTTGTGTCCCCAGTAATAACCAGGGAAATGAATGATAGACTCCTTACTGCTGTCTCTGATGCGGAAATCAAAACTGCGGTGTTTCAATTGGGCTCAACTAAAGCCCCCGGCCCTGATGGTTATCCTGGTTTCTTTTACCAACATTTCTAGCATGAGGTGGGCCCTGACATTTGTAGGGCAGTTTGAAGCTTTTTGAAGGGGGTTTCTTGCTTAAGGAAATGAATCAAACAAATTTGGTTCTAATACCTAAAATCAAAGCTCCTGAACATCTGTCACAGTATCGACCAATCAGCTTGTGCAATTTTAATCTTAAGATTATCACGAAGATCTTGGCCAACCGGTTGAAGCGCGTGTTGGGGCGGTTATATCTCCAAATCAGTCAGCCTTTGTTCCTGGCCGACTTATTCAGGATAACATCATCATGGCTCATGAAGCTTTCCACCTTCTTAAGTTGTAAAAAAAAAGGAACCGGGCTGATATGGCGATTAAATTGGATTTCAATAAAGCTTATGATAGGGTGCAATGGGATTTTCTAGAAATAGTGTTACGGAAAATGGGCTTTCATGAGCAGTGGATTACTTGGGTAATGGAATGTGTGTCTACTGTCACTTTCTCTGTGGTTGTTAATGGGGCAAAGAGAACTTCTTTCAAACCTTTGCGGGGACTCTGCCAAGGTGATCCATTATCTCCGTTCCTTTTCAATATAGTGGCTGAGGGGCTTAAAATTCTCCTGAATAGAGCACTAAATCTGGGCATCCTTCATGGTGCTTTGGTTGGGGTCTTTCCTACCTCTTTTTTGCAGACGATGCCCTCTTATTCCTAAAAGCTGATATGGGTCAATGCCACAATGTTCTTAAGGTTCTCAATGTATATTGTAAGGCATCGGGCTAACGGGTGAATTTCGACAAATCTAGTATTCAGTTCTCACCATCGGTTAATGCAGCAGTGAAACGAGGCATCTGTAATCTGTTGAACATTGCTCCAGTTCGGGAAGGGTCGAAGTATTTGGGTTTTCCCACGTACGGCGGTCGATCGAAAACGGAGATGTATCACTTCTTGGTGGATAGAATGATGGATAAACTTCAAGGGTGGAAGGTGAAGCTTCTTTCTCATGCGGGTAGGGAAACTTTGATTAAAGTAGTGTTAGAATTTACCATAATATATCATCACCTACCACCTCCACTCAACTCACCTACCACACACACTCACCTACTCCCCAATCCTCTCCTATATAATTAGTACCTCACCATCTGTAATTTACACAACAATCAATACATCAATCAATAATATACATCAATATATTTTTACATGGTATCAGAGCAAGGTTAAGAAGTTAGTAATTCTACTTCACCGGCGGGCGGTAGCCTCGCCTTGACCGCCCGCCGGACCTCTACACATGCCCAAACCATCCCTATCCACACATCTCTCTGTTTACCCCTGCAAATCAGTAACCTCAGTTGACCGGAGAAGCGCCGGAAAATGACGAATTACGGTACAATTCCGACATCATCATCGCCGGGAAGTGCAAACCTAGAGTATATCTCTCGAGCAAAGGAGAGATTGAAATCAGGCCTCGGAGCTCGTCGGCCATGGAAGGAGATGGTGAATCTCCATTCAATCGGACTCCCTGGAGGCTTCGGAGACGCATTCAGACGGATCAGAACGAATCTCGGTTACTTCCGCATGAACTACGCGATCATCGTGCTTCTCATCCTCTTCCTCAGCCTCCTATGGCACCCGATCTCGCTGATTGTCTTCATCATCATGATGGCCGTTTGGCTCTTCCTCTACTTCCTCAGAGACGAGCCGTGGGTGATTTTCAACCGTACGATCGACGACCGCATCGTGATGGTGGTGTTATCGGTGCTCACGATCGTTTTCCTCTTGTTGACTGATGCGACTCTCAATATAGTGATCTCGTTGTTGATTGGAGTTGTTGTTGTCTTGATTCATGCCGTGTTTAGGAAGACTGATGATCTGTTTGTCGATGAAGAGTCCGGAGGCGCCACGGGGGCGCTCTTCGCCGGGGTTCCGTCGGCTTCGTCTTAGGCCATCATCCAGATCTTCATCTTGTTGGATGGAACAATGTCAAAATTGATTTATGGACACATGCTGTTGGTGGACTTACAGAAAATGATTTCTTACTTGCTGCTAAGATTGACGGGCTTCGCGTGCAACATCTTCTGGGTAGAAATGCTACCTACTGACTACATTGACCATTCTCCTAACATATCACCATTCTGAAGTGAATAATGCTGATGGGCCCTACCACTAGCCAAAGCACATTATAATCCTGCTTTCTCTCTTCTTTCCACCAAATTCCACTCATTTTGCTTTCTTATCATGACATCCACTATAAGCTTTTATTTATTTTCTTTTATTTTATTTATTTATTTTTTTCTTCTTTTTCTTCTCCTTTATTTATTTCTTTAACACCTTTCCCACCACCACCCCAACCTTCTCTTATTCTTGTCGGGGCTCACCCCGTTCACCATTTTACATCACAAAAAAAAAAAAAAACAAACACAACCCCCAAAACAAAAATGAATAACCAAATTAACACAAGTCAAGTTTTCTCACCCAAACCGCTTTAGTATGAACAATGTTGTGAGAACGGCGGTTCGGCCATTTCCAAATGGGTCATAGTACATTTCAGGCCTATTCATTTCATTATATACACCAGCATTCTCAAAATTATTAAACCTTTGATTTCCATAGCCCACATTCTAAACCTCACCAAACCTAACATTTTGGTTTTCAAAACCTTGGTTATAGTTTCAAATACAGGGCTCCGTTGATATTAAATCTTGCCGGTGTTGCCTCCGTGTTTCCCACTCCACTGGGCATGATCACTACTCCCTGCTCCTCCACTGCAGCATATGGCGGGCCTCCAAATCGGAACATCACGGTGGCCTTCCGCTTCAGCTCCTTGTTTTCTGCCCTTAGCACGCTTATCTCTGCTCGCGCATCCTTATACATGCGTTGGAGCAGAGCCAGCTGGGAGTTTAACTGCTGCACCTCATTTGTCCTACTCTGCAGCCGGTTCGACAAATTTGTGACCGCCGTCATGCTTTCCACACATGCCTTCAGAGTATACTGATTGGCCTCCACATCTGACAGCACCGCCATTTTTTGCTCCACCGACCGCATCGGAAAATTCAACGGCGCAAACTCCGGGGCACTTGGTTGAGGTTCCAGTGCCCCCGCACTAGTTCTCTCTCCTGTTGACTCGTTGAGGTCGGGAAAGAGAGTGAGCAGACTCCGGGAAGACGAGGCCATTTTCTGGGCACAAGAGTATTACAGACTATCTCTCGCAACAGAGTGTTACAGAATCTCTCTCAGCACTCTCTCTCAGAATATCTCTCGCCGCTTTTCTCTGCCTCAGCCTCAGCCTCCGTTTTCTCTGCCTCAGCCTCAGCCTCTGTCTTATAGCTGAGGCAGCCACGCGCATCGCGCGCCTTTTGACGCCGACAAACGGGCACGCCAACCAAGGCACTCACGTGCCTCGCCATGATGACTCCGGCACGCCTTTTGATAAATTGGACACGCCTTTTGATGGCACGCCTTTTGACAAAATTGGGCACACCTTTTGAGGGTGCAACTTTTTCAACGGTCCGACATGACCCTATAAACTGTCCCGACATTTGATTCCGGTTAGCATCTTCAACGGTCCGACATGACCCCATAAACTGTCCCGACATTGATTCCGGTTAGCCTTTTACAACGGTCCGACATGACCCTATAAACTGTCCCGACTTTTGATTCCGGTTAGCATACAGTGTCCTCTACCGTGTTATGACACCACCCTTCAGTGTCCTCTACACCGTTATGACACCACCATACAGTGTCCTCTACACCGTTATGACACCACATCCAGTGTCCTCTACCACGTTATGGCACCACCTTTCAGAGTCTTCACCAACGGTCTGACACGACCATACAGTGTCCCCTATCTTTTTTGTTATTATTTTTCTGTATTTTCTTGTTTTGTAAACTCTCTCCAAACTCAAGTTGGTTAGTTCCTATCCTCCTTGAGTTTGCGGGGGGCTGTTAGAATTTACCATAATATATCATCACCTACCACCTCCACTCAACTCACCTACCACACACACTCACCTACTCCCCAATCCTCTCCTATATAATTAGTACCTCACCATCTGTAATTTACACAACAATCTTGTAATCAAATTATCAATCAATAATATACATCAGTTTATTTTACAAGTAGTGGCGCAAGCTATTTCTTCGTATATAATGGTGTGTTTTCTTTTTCCAAAAAACCTTTGCGCCTCTATGAATTCTTTGGTGAGTAATTTTTGGTAGAAAGGGGATCCCGAGAGTAAAGGAATTCACTGGGCGGGCTTCTTTGGGTCAAATGGCCAAATCCAAACCTCACGGGGGCATGGGTTTTCCGAATATGAGAGCTTTTAACAAAGCTTTACTAGCTCGGCAAGGGTGGCGGTTACTCAAAAACCCACATTCACATTCTTTCTGTGCCAGATTGATGAGAGGGATTTATTACCCAAGATCCAACTTCATGTATGCGGCCAAAGGCTCAAGGGCTTCTTGGGCCTAGGCAAGCTTTCTTGGAAAAAAGAAATTCTGCGTCTAGGCACTCAATGGCAAGTTGGTAATGGGGCTTCCACTAATTTTTGGGAGGACAAATGGGTTTATTCTTCGAAGGATTTCAGAATCCGCTTCCGTCAACCAGCCGAGTGTGGTATTTCAAAAGTTGAAGATGTGATCCACCCGGTGACTAAATCATGGGATGAGAATCTTCTTAAAAGTTTCGTCTCACAAGAGGAGGTGGCTAACATTCAGGTTATTCCTATCTCTACCATGAGCCGAGGACTCTATAATTTGGCACCATGATTCGAAGGGTATGTATTCCGTCAAGTCGGGCTTCCGAGTAGAACTGGACAACCAACCAGCCTTGGCCTCAACTCCTTCTTCATCATTCCAAGTTCCACAGTAATTTTGGAAAATGATTTGGGCCCTTCCGGTGCCTCCAAAGCTGAAACACTTTTGGTTGAGAAGTTGCAACAACCTTCTAGCCACTCGTCAAAACCTCCATCGCCGTAAATGTTCAACTGAAGCTATGTACCCAGTGTGCTTGGGGTGCCGTGAGTCCACTGAACATTTGTTATGTGGTTGTAGTTGGGCGAAAGCGGTTTTGTTTGGTAATGAGTTATTTTTGACTTTTTGGGATGAAATTGATTCTCTTTTGAAACGGGCATGTGAAGTGTACCTAGCCTTTTCGAATGGCAAGGACCGTGTATCGTACTTCTGCAAACTTCTTTGGTTGGCTTGGCATGTTTGGAAGTCTAGGAATGCGTGGATTTTCAATCACACTCCGGTGGACCCGTTGGAAACCATCTATCTTGCTGACAGAGCTCGTAGGGAGTTTGAGACTCTCGTAAATGCATCCACCTCTGGGGCGAACAGTGCTGCTACAGTGGGTGTCCCTCCTTCTGTATGGTCTCCTCCTCCCCAAGGGTGGCTCAAAGCAAATTGTGATGTGGCATTTAAAGATGGGGCTTCCAAGGCCTATATTGTTGTCCTGTTTCGGGATCATCAGGGTCTGTTGGTTGATGGGGCTATCCAGCTAGTTGCTATCAGCTCGGTTATGCAAGGGGAAGCAATGGCAATTAGACGAGCATGCCTTACGGCCAAAGCTCGCAATTTTTCTAATGTGGAGATAATCGGAGATAACAAGTCTCTGATTCTATTATGTGTGTGAGGATGAGCCTCCATGGGAGTGTGCCTATATTATTGCAAACATTAGAGTCTTAGCTGGTGATTGTCATTTCTTGTTCAAGTGGAGTCCTAGGTCTGCTAATGGGGCAGCTCATTGGGTTGCGGAGGAGGCATTTTGTGGCCACCTTCCTTGCCATTGGGTGTCTAATCCCCCTAGGGCCTTATTGAGGGTTTTAAACCCTTCTTTGTAAGCCTCTTTTATGCGTTCAAAAAAGCAAAAAGAAAAAAAAGAATGTACTAATGGTTGAGGAGGAAAGGTGTAGAGAGCGAAATAATAGAAAAATGGAAGAAATGGCATTTTTTTGTAAATTTGAAAATATGAAGAGGATATTTTCGTCTTTAAAATTGAGCTACTCTCTCCAGAGGCATGTGGTTCTCACATTCTATCATCTTTGATAGAAAAATTAACGATGCATTTTAATCTATAAATCATGCAGAAATTATGTGATTATTTTTAAATGTTAAGAAGTAAACTGCACATAATTCAAATCACAGGAGTAAAATGAAGTTTGTCTTAATTTTTATTTATTTTTATAAATAGTCAAAATAGTATGAGATTAATGACAATTTTCATTATGAGACTTTTCTCCTTATGAAAAGTCTTTGTTCTGTAATATTTTTAAATACCCGAGTTGTTTGTCTTTTTGTTTCCCTAATTACTATTATCAGACTAACAAACAACTCGTGTATTTAACAATAGATCATTTGATATATGTATAAGATTAAATTTAAAATTTATTATATTTTATTTATAACTTTCAATATTTATATTGTAATGTTAGCAGCGGTGCCAATAATGGTAGCGGAGGTAACGAGATAGTGATTGTCGTGATGGTACATGAGTAGTAGTAGTAGTGGTGGTGACAGTGACAGTAGTGATGACAGCAGTGGTAATGTTATAATTATGTATATCAATACATTTGCTTAAGTATTTTATATATTCAATTAGAATTAAGTAGGTTTCCTATCACTTAAAATTTTCTTAATTTTAACCTACATTTTAAGAGATACTTAAAATTTTAAGTAATATCAAACGAGCCTAATGAATTTTTACTTAATACATTTAGTTTTAGGACTTTTCTTAAGTGTGCCTTGCATATGGTATGCAAGGCATTTACACCCTTTCTATTATACATTTACACCTTTTATGTATTGGGTTATATGACATTTTTTGAAAGTTCACACTTTGGTGACCTGCTAAACGGGTCACTTTGCAGGTAAATTAATTAAATAATATAATATATTAATAATTTCATAAAATGTCCTAAAAGGTGAAGAATGTTAAAATATTTTTGGAAATGGGTGTAAACTTTCACAAAATGGTGTAAGTGTTTTGACGAAAAGGTATAAACTTTCAGAAAAAGGTGTAAGTGTTTTGACGAGAAGGTATAAACTTTCAGACATGGTTGTAAACTTTTAGAAAATGGTGTAAGCATTTTGTCGAAAAGGTAAAAGTTTAGAAATTTTTCAGAAAAGGTGTAACGTTTCAGAAAAAGGGTGTAAAATTTAGTTTAGTGTAAATTTTATCGACAAATAACAATTTAGTCGCTAAAGGTTGAAAATTATATTACCATCGGCCCCCCTCTTCTCTGTTTTCCACCAACACTTTCTCTGTTCTCTCTCACACGCACACAGAATAGTCACCACCAATCCTGACCCCCGCTGACCACCCAAGCGTCGGTGGCCTCCGGTGCTCACCGCCGTCTGACATCGCCACCGCCACGGCGACCTCTACGGCCACCGCCACTACCGCTGCCGCAAATCAAAGGTTTTTTTTTTTTCTCTCTCTCTCTTTGTATTGATCTTGGCCTCTTCTTTGTCGATGCCGGTCTTTCTCTGTTGATCCATGTTTATCTCAGTTTGTCACTAGCGATCTTGGTCTGTCTGTGTCGATCTCGGTCTCTTCTTTGTCGATCTTTGTCGATCTCGGTCCCTCTCTGTCGATCACTGTTTATCTCGTTCTCTCTATCTGTCGATCTCGGTCTGTCTGTCTGTCTGTCTGTCTCTCTCTCTCTCTTTCTCTCTCTCTCTGTTCCTTCCTCTATATTAAAAATGGTTCTCTTTTACATTGACATACTTGGTTGGATTTGGACTTGGAGTCGCTATTCCAAGCCCTCCCAAACGCGTCTTCTATGAAACGGACTTCTACTGAGAGAAAGACAAAGCCCTCTGAAACGCCGCTTCTCTCTCACATTGCCATTATTTGAACAAGACAAATATAGTTTGATTGGATTTTAGGAACTTACACGTTTTGTGAAAAAACGGAACTTACACCTTTTGCGAAGTTACTTACATCTCTTGTGAAAACACTTACACTATTTGTGGAAGGATACACATTTGTGAAATAATTTATTTTGTAAAATTTACATCTTTTTGTTGAAATACTTACACCTTTTGTGAAAAGTTGCTACTTTTGTAAACAATTTTATTTAAAAAATTTACACATTTTATTGGAAGTTACACCTTTTCTGAGAACAGAACTTACACTTTTTGTCAAATAACTTACATCTTGTGTGAAAAAATTTACACCTTCTATGAAAAATATGTTTTCATAAAGTTTACACATTTTGTTAAAAATTTACACCTTTTAGTGGAAATAATTACACATTTTCTGAGAAGTTACTTCGTTTGTGAACAATTTTTTTCAGAAAATTTACACCTTTTATTAGAACTTACACCTTTTGTGACATTACTTACATCTGTTGTAAAAATATTTACACCTCTTATGGAAAATATATTTGAATAAATTTTACACCTTTTGTTAAAAACATACACCTTTGCTGAAAGTTTACACCATTGGGGGAAATACTTACACGTTTTTTGAAAAGTTATTCCTTTTGTGAAATTATTTTTTCCATAAAATTTACACATTTTATTGGAACTTACACCTTTTCTGAAAACAAAACTAACACCTTTTGTCACATAACTTACATGTTTTGTGCAAACATTTACACGCTTTATGAAAAGTTACACATTCGATGGAGAATATGTTTTCATAAAGTTTACACCTTTTGTCAAGAATTTACACCTTTGCTGAAAGTTTACACATTTTCTGAAAGTTTACATCTTTTATTGGAAATATTTACACCTTTTCTGAAAGGTTACTCTGATTGTGAAACAATTTTTTTCAAAAAATTTACACATTTTATTAAAAGTTACACCTTTTGTGACATAACTTACATCTTTTCTAAAAATGTTTACACCTTTTATGGAAAATATGTTTGCATAAAGTTTACACATTTTGTTGAACGTTTACACCTTTGGGGGAAATACTTAAAGTTACACCTTTTGTGAAATTATATTTTCCATAAAATTTACACCTTTAATGGGAACATACACCTTTTCTGAAAACGAAACTTACACCATTTGTGACATAACTTACATCTTTTGTGAAACCAACTACAAGTTTTTTTTTGAAAATTTACACATTTCATGGAAAAAATATTTGCATAAAATTTATATCTTTTGTTACACCTTTTCTGAATAGTTACTCCTTTTGTGAAAGAACTTTTTCCATAAAATTTACACATTTTTTTTTTTAAATTTACACCTTCAATGGAAAATATGTTTTCATCAAGTTTATACATTTTTTTAAAAACTTACACCTGTTCTGAAAAGTTACTCATTTTGTGAAATAAAAATTTTTAAAAAATTTACATCTTTTAATAGAAGTTACACCTCTTCTAAAAACAAAATTTACACCTTTTCTGACATAAGTTACATCTTTGGTGAAGAAAATTATACATTTTTTGAAAATTTACACGTTTTACGAAAAATATGTTTTGATAAAGTTTGTTAAAAACTTATACATTTTATGAAAGTTTATACTATTTGGTGGAAATACTTAGACCTTTTCTAAAAAGTTACACCTTCTGTGAGAAAAAATCTTTCATTAAATTTACAGCTTTTATGGGAACTTACATCTTTTATGAAAAACAAACTTACGCCTTTTGTCAATAGCGTACATCTTTTGTGAAAAAATTTACACCTTCTATGGAATATATGTTTTCATAAAGTTTACATGTTTTATAAATATTTTCACCTTTTCTGAAAGTCTACACCTTATGGTGGAAATACTTACACCTTTCGTCAAATGTTACACCTTTCTCGAATTTTTTTTTTTTTTTTTCTGATCATATTTACACCTTTTGCATAGAACTTACACCTTTCGTTCTACTTTTTCCAAAAAGGTGTAAATTTTATAAAATAAGTTATTTGACAGAAGGTATAACTTTTCAAATATGGTGTATGTTTTTCCGAAAAAGGTGTAAATAATTTCAGAGAAGATGTAAGTTTTGTTTTCACTAAAGGTGTAAGTTCAAATAATATGTGTAAATTTTTCAAAAAAAATTATTTCACAAAATGTGTAATTTTCAAAAAAGTTGTAAATATTTCCATGAAAAGGTGTAAATTTTTAGAAAATGTGTAAAATTTAGGAATAGTTGTAAACTTTGTGAAAAAAAATATTCACATAAGGTGTAAGTTTCGTTTTTACAAAAGATATAAGCTCCCAAAGAAGGTCTAAATTTTATCGATGAATAATAGTTTAGTCGGTACACGTTGAAAATTTTATCACCACCGGCCCTCCTTCTTCTCTGTTTCACACTGCCCCTTTGTCTATTGTCTCTCACACGTACATAGAACAGTGAACCAATTCTCGACAATTACACCAATCCTCACCCCCGCTGACGACCCAACCGTCGTGGGCCACCGTTGCCCACCGCCGTCTGACATTGCCACCGCCACCGCCGCTGGTGCAAATCAAAGGTTTTTTCTGTCTCCATCGATCTTGGTCTCTCTTTGTCGATCTTGGGCTCTTCTCTATCGATATCGTTCTCTCTCTCTCTCTTTGCCGATCTCTGTTTGTATCGATCTTGGTGTCTCTCTATCGACCTTGGTTTGTCTGTGTTGATCTCGGTCTGTCTCTCTCTGTCGAACCATGTCTATCTCGGTCTCTGTCTGTCGATATCGATCTGTCTCTCT